CCCTTTCCCACCCACCTCCCACCCCCCCTCCCACCCCGCCCTTCTCCCCGCCCCCTTCCACACCCCGCCCCCCCCCCCCCCCCCCTGCCACCCCTTCCCACCCCTTCCCCACCCTCTCCCACCCACCTCCCACGCCCCCCCCCACCCCCTCCACCCCTCCCACCCCCCTCCCACCTCCCTTCCACCCCCGCCCCCCTCCCACCCCCTTCCCCCTGACCAACTTTCCGCCACCGTGCCCCGGGGCACGAAGGAAGTGGAGCTGCACCCAGGCTCTCTGGTGTCCCCTGTGCTCTGAAACCAAGACCCTGGGATTCTAGTGTTTTAAAAATATGAGGCCCCCAAACTCTCAAATTTCCTGGGCGTCCCCGCGCGTTGGAATACCTCGCGTGGCTTTCCATATGCCAGAGGGCCCCAAGACGGGCCAAGAGGGCCCCAGAAAGCGCTCAAGAGAGTCCAAAAGACCTCCAAGACAGCCCAGGAGCGCTCCAAGACGCCCATGATGACCCCGGGACGCCTCAAGAAGCCCCGCAGAAGCCCCAAGCGGGCACCAGGGGGCAAAAACCAAGGCGTTGGGAAGGCGAGAACGCAAAGATCCTTCAACCTTTGAAAGATAATAGGTTTGGCGCTTCTGGGAACCTCGTAGAAGTCTCGTGGGGGCCTCTTGGAGGCCTCGTGAGGCCTCCTGGGTCCTCTTCGGGCCTCTTGGGTGCTTCTTGGGGGCCTCTCGGGGCTTGCTGAGGGCCTCTCGGGGCCGAGGGCTCGAAATGTCCGTTCGGGGCCCTCGTCTGGGTCCTCTCTGGAGTCGTCGTGGGGGACTCTGGGGCCGCCTTAGAGGCCTCTGAGGCCGTCTTGGAGCCCACTCGGGGCCGTCTAAGAGCTCTCTCGGGGCGTCTTGGGGCTCGCTTGGGAGCCTCTTGGGAAATATCGGGGCATCCTTCCTTGGCGGCGTCTCGGACAGTCCGGGAGCGCTGGGAAGCCGAAATGGACAGAAAACCAAATCCCTCGAGATCAGCCCGTAAATTAATATAAAGTCTGCTATTGGGAGGCATCGTGGAAACTCCTCAGGGGCCTCGCGGAAGCCTCTTAGGGGGCGTCTTGGAGGCCTCTTGGACAACGCGCGGGGCCAGTTCTGGCCAATATGTGACCGTCACGGCCGTTTTGTGACTGCCTACCAGACCACCCCAACCCAACCCGAAGACCCGAATTTGACCCGAATGTCGGGTTGGGGAGGTACGGGTTCCATGTGTTTTTCCCAACCATCCTGTGGTGTTGGGTCCTCGTTTTGAAGAGACGGTGCCCCGCGTTCCTCTCCTCTCCTCCTCCTCCTCCCCCTCCTTGCCTCTGCTCTCGGCACACCTCTCACGCGTTTCGTAGCCCCATAGGGTCCACCGAAGGCTCCACATAGCGCCCCAGCTCCACCGAAGGCCCCAGGGGGTGTCCACATGCGGTTCCCCCACCCAGGGCAGCGTTTCGTAGCCCCATAGGGAGCTCCACCGAAGGCCCCAGTGGGGGTGTCCACATGCGGTTCCCCCACCCAGGGCAGCGTTTCGTAGCCCCATAGGGAGCTCCACCGAAGGCCCCAGTGGGGGTGTCCACATGCGGTTCCCCCACCCAGGGCAGCGTTTCGTGGCCCCATAGGGAGCTCCACCGAAGGCCCCAGTGGGGGTGTCCACATGCGGTTCCCCCACCCAGGGCAGCGTTTCGTGGCCCCATAGGGAGCTCCACCGAAGGCCCCAGTGGGGGTGTCCACATGCGGTTCCCCCACCCAGGGCAGCGTTTCGTGGCCCCATAGGGAGCTCCACCGAAGGCCCCAGTGGGGGTGTCCACATGCGGTTCCCCCACCCAGGGCAGCGTTTCGTAGCCCCATAGGGAGCTCCACCGAAGGCCCCAGTGGGGGTGTCCACATGCGGTTCCCCCACCCAGGGCAGCGTTTCGTAGCCCCAGAGGGAGCTCCACCGAAGGCCCCAGTGGGGGTGTCCACATGCGGTTCCCCCACCCAGGGCAGCGTTTCGTAGCCCCATAGGGAGCTCCACCGAAGGCCCCAGTGGGGGTGTCCACATGCGGTTCCCCCACCCAGGGCAGCGTTTCGTGGCCCCATAGGGAGCTCCACCGAAGGCCCCAGTGGGGGTGTCCACATGCGGTTCCCCCACCCAGGGCAGCGTTTCGTGGCCCCATAGGGAGCTCCACCGAAGGCCCCAGTGGGGGTGTCCACATGCAGTTCCCCCACCCAGGGCAGCGTTTCGTAGCCCCAGAGGGAGCTCCACCGAAGGCCCCAGTGGGGGTGTCCACATGCGGTTCCCCCACCCAGGGCAGCGTTTCGTAGCCCCATAGGGAGCTCCACCGAAGGCCCCAGTGGGGGTGTCCACATGCGGTTCCCCCACCCAGGGCAGCGTTTCGTAGCCCCAGAGGGAGCTCCACCGAAGGCCCCAGTGGGGGTGTCCACATGCGGTTCCCCCACCCAGGGCAGCGTTTCGTAGCCCCATCTCCACCGAAGGCCCCAGGGGGGTGTCCACATGCGGTTCCCCCACCCAGGGCAGCGTTTCGTGGCCCCATAGGGAGCTCCACCGAAGGCCCCAGTGGGGGTGTCCACATGCGGTTCCCCCACCCAGGGCAGCGTTTCGTAGCCCCATAGGGAGCTCCACCGAAGGCCCCAGTGGGGGTGTCCACATGCGGTTCCCCCAGCAGCGTTTCGTAGCCCCAGAGGGAGCTCCACCGAAGGCCCCAGTGGGGTGTGTCCGCATGCGGTTCCCCCACCCAGGGCAGCGTTTCGTTCGTTCGGCCCCAGCCCCAGAGGGAGCTCCACCGAAGGCCCCAGTGGGGGTGTCCACATGCGGTTCCCCCACCCAGGGCAGCGTTTCGTAGCCCCATAGGGAGCTCCACCGAAGGCCCCAGTGGGGGTGCCCTCATGCGGTTCCCCCACCCAGGGCAGCGTTTCGTAGCCCCAGAGGGAGCTCCACCGTAGGCCCCAGTGGGGGTGCCCGCATGCGGTTCCCCCACCCAGGGCAGCGTTTCGTAGCCCCAGAGGGAGCTCCACCGAAGGCCCCAGTGGGGGTGTTCGCATGCGTCTCCACTACCCAGAGGTAGCGCCGCCGAAAACGATATTCACACTTGCGGTATTCACAGTTGCATATGGTTGGGTCCTTCGCCAGGCTAATTTTAATGTCCCCCGACCCCCCAATACTGGAAATGGAGGGCAAATTG